TCCAAGCATGCTCTTAAAGACTATAAGTTTCAAGAGAAGGAAAAAGTTAAACAAATTAGGTGGGTGGGAGAGATTCCTGTCAAATGATTAGGAAGAAAAATAAGTCGCAAAAAAAGTCCTAAAGTTGTGAACATATGCTGGCACAAAATAATGCTAAGACATTATGTATTAATAGGAATTAAAATAGATGGATTCAAAAAACTAAACCGAAAAAGTTGGGATAAGGCCAATAACGTTGGTTGTTGCAAAATTGGTAAAATTGAACTTAAATGACCAGATATATAGGCATCTCAAATAACTAAAAGTATATGTTATTAACATATATGTGCATTTAATATAAAAAAAATGTTAGCGCTGACTATAAAGTATAAGTTTATATTTATGTGTCAATGAAAAGCTTGGGATTATGTATGTGCGTCTAGATAATCATGTCCTAGATATGTCATTCATATGTTTGAAAAGATTTTAGAGTATGTATTGGTGTCTTTGCCCCATGTCAGCATTAGTATTTCATACTAATTCGTAAATGGGTCTATTTCCCACATTAGATGACAAGCTGTCATGCCAAATTTTTTACTATTGCAAAAGAAAAATAGAGGTTGTTTTTTTTCTTTTTTGGAGAAGTTGCAAATAGTAACTGTTCGAGTGAATGATAGTCAGCATAGAGAGCGAGTCAACAGAAAAAAAAAAAAGAATAGCAACAAAAAACAACTACCATAGAAAACACAAACAACAACAAAGTAAAAAAAATCAACAATAACTAGCAAGGCATCAGCGGCAATAAGCAAGCAAAGAAGAAGGAACAACTGCTATAATTCTTGTAAAAGAGAATGCAACTATAGTTTCAATACTTTGGGAAAATTGAGAGATGACATCTAATCCACTACTTAAAAAACTCCATTAAAAATAAAAAAGAAGTACCGTTTATTATAACAAATTAGATATGTTCGATCTACAAAATAATTCCAGTTGAATCATATTAATCCTGAATTTAAAATTTGTAGCAAATAAACTTTAATTCGACAATCCAACTTATAGGACCTTAATTTCTCACGTATGATGTTTGGTTAATAATAGAATCTTGCGTTTATACTCTAGATGATATCCTATTCAATCTCAATAACGTGATCTATGAATCACTACCACCAGCAGTCTTGACCAAAAGATAGGACGATTGGATTTAACTGATTCAATGTTATGAAGGATGCTTCTTTTTATAGTCTTCTAAGAAATGAATGGTCAGATTTAACATATCCTTCATGATACCATCCCCAAATCACATAGCTAATGAGCATAGAAGCAGTAGGAAAAACTCAGCTAGCAAGGTACAAATAACTAAGATGTTTATTATTTAAAATGTAAATAATCACTAAACTATTAAAAGCATCAACATGATTTGAAGTCATAACCTAAACAAATTACACACAAAAACTTTTTCTATGCATTGAAAATAAATGTATATAGATATAGCTCCAAAGAATGCACAAATAATATCACGGGCACACTATGCAGACCACAAAGAAATAATAACTTCAAAAACTCAAATAAAAATGCAATGGGAAGTCCTCAAGCTCAATAATAACCGTTCACAAATTATCTACAGTTTATTGCCCTATAAGTAAGAAACACAAAGCTCTGAGTTAATTTGTTCGCCAACTCTTGTAGTTTGGTCAGGGGATAGATCAACTTCTGCAATTCCAACCTCCTCCCAAGTTTCACCAATTTGTTCAGGATTAAGCTATATTTTTGGATTCTCCAGTAAAAGTGGCATCAACATTTTCAGTAGATGGATCATTATCTGATTTTTTCAAAGCTTAGAGAACCATCAACATCTTCAATAAGATCTTTTTTAGATGGTTCATTATATTGATTAAGTTTACAAGGCTGAATATTGGCGGCAGCAGATGTCTCAATTGAAAATGCCTTACGAACTAATTGCAGAGCTATCTGTCAAAATATCAGAGTAATAAATAGAAAATGAATAACTATTGGGAGTGAACACGCATTTCTTGAAACACTAGAACTTCACGATTTATATTGTAGATAAGTATAAGTTCATGTTAAAGAAACCGGCTTAAGAAGAAAACTGATGGAACAAACTAAATATTTTAATTTAATCAAATTTATTCGATTATATATATTAAAAAAGATAAGTAATTCAGTTTGCATGATCCTTTCATAGAATGATGCAATAATTCTATTCACAAAACATCTGAGACAAGACAGTATTACGGCATACTTGTTCAAGCTTGATACCACAAGCTTCACTAATTACCTTCCTAGGTAATCTCTTACAATATGCATCTTTCCATCAGTTATATAATCAACAATCGCAATTACTTCAATTTTATCCAAAGGAGAAATCGAAATTGTCTCAATCACATTCGCTGAGCAAATTAAGAGCACATACACTACAAATAAGGAAATATAATTATTCTGCATTTTAAAAGAAGTTTGCAAATATTTGCAAGACTTTTCACAGAAAATAAAAACAATTGATATTTGCAAGACTTTTCACAGAAAATAAAAACAATTGACAATTTCATTGAAACAATCCATTTGTTTAGACTATATAGGCCATAGCATCAATACTGGTCAGATGACCAACAACTAAATGCTTTTTATCTAGTGTGATTTTTTTAAAAAAAAACTTAATTAACCATGTTTTATCATTATATAGCATTAACTAGTATAAAAAGTGAGCTAATTACACCACAATGTTAAGATAGCAGGAATTGATGTGGATCGGACTTGAGGCATGTCAATACCTATTATGCCCCATCAAAAATTTTTAAGTCGCAGTTGATGTAGGACATCTTCAAGTATTGGTTCTCCTAACGCATATGGTGGAAAAATAAAAGAATTGGATGCACTGATAGTAAATTACAAAAAAAAGATACATTAAATGAACTAGAATCATGAGTTCTGAAATTATCAATTTATAAAGATTTGTTGCAATCTATTACATGATTTTATAAAGTTATCTTTTAGCAATTAATTTTAAAAGATTCCCATAGGAGAGCCTTCCAAGATTAAGAAGTATCATTTACCTAATCAGCCAATCTGAATTTCATCTATCGTATGCTCACATTAGCAGGTATTCAAAATTGACACTAAAAATATCAAATTTATGCAAATTACATGAATCATGCAATTTTTGAAAATAACTAATGGGATGCGAAGCATCTAATGCAAATATTAAAATGCCGACATAATAAAATATGTCCTAATGCATATTCATAACTAATTCCAAGATGATGAGTCTGCACAAATTGATTTGTTTCAATGGAATTGTTGATTGTTTTTATTTTCTGCAGAAAGTCTTGGAAGTATTTGCAAACTTCTTTTAAAAAAACAGAATAAATATATTTTTCTTATTTGAAAGCAGGTGCTATTTATTTGCACAGCGAATGTGATTGAGATAATTTTGACTTCTCTCTTGGATAGAATAGAAGTAATTGTGATTGTTGGTTATATAATTGATGAAAAAATGTATATTGTAAGGGATTACCTAGGAAGAGAATTAGTGAAGCTTGTGATATCAAGCTTGAACAAGTATATTGTAATATTGTCATATCTGAGAAGCGTTGTGATTAGAATTATTGTATAATTCTATAAATGTGTCGTATTAACTGAATTACTAATCTTTTTTTTAATATATATATATATCTGATTAAATTAAAATATTCAGATGTAAGTAACAACTGCAGCTCTACTTGAACTTATATAAAATTATTGTTGAGAGACTGGTGTGCAGAATTTACATGCTATGTACAAGTTAATACACGTTATGTACATAGTTTATACAAGCATTGTACATATTATGTACAAGTTTATACACAATATGTGCAAGCATTATACACACTATGTTATAAACTTTTTTATAGTATGTATAAATTTATACACATTATAAACAAGTTCATACATGCTATGCACAAGTTTATACAAGCATTGTACACGCTATGTACAAGCATTATATATGATATATACAAGTATTATACATGATATGTATAAACATTATACAGGCTATGTAAAAGCACTATACACACTATGTACAAGTTTATATATGCTATGTACAAGTATTATACACGCAATGTACAAGTATTATACAAATGTTATGTACAAGCATTATAGACACTGTGTACAAGTTTATACACACTATGTATAAGTTTGTACACACTATATATAGGCATTATATATACTATGTATAAGTTTATACATGCTATATACAAACATTATATACACTATGTATAAATTTATACAAGTTATGCACAAACATTATAAATATTATGTATAAGTTTATACACATTATATATAATGCTTATACACAATATATATAAGTATTTTATACGCTATATACAAATTTATACAAGCATTATACACATTATGTACATGATTATACAAGCATTATGCATGCATTGTACAAGTTTGTACATGTTACACTATGTACAAGTTTGTACATATTACACTATGTACAAGTTTATAAATGCATTGTACATTACGTTTAATGTTATGTACAAAGAATATACACAAGCTATGTACAACCATTATAAACACTATGTATAAGTTTATATACGCTATGTACAAGCTTTATACACATTATGTACAAGTTTGTATATGCTATATACAAGCATTATACATATTATGTACAAGTTTATACATGTTATATACAAGAATTATACACACAATATACAAGTTTGTACAAGCTATGTACAAGCATTATACACGCTATGTATAAGCATTATACATAAGTCACCGAGAAATACCTTTATGCTCATTTGGTAGTTTTTTTTTGTCCTCAAGAAGCGGAAACAAAAATTATATCTTACCAAAGATAAATTAGCAATAATCCATGGCTCCTCTAGAATTGGACACAAAGGTTAGTGAACTTTGAAATTTATGTTTTGTTTGGCATGACTTGTGCCATTTTTTCGCTCACGTTAGAACATTATGTTCACTTTGTCATAAAAAAACAACTTTTTTGAGGGAAATTGTTGATAGAGCAAAAAAAAACCCTGTTCCTGCTTTCTAATAGCTTATTCAACTAGATAAGTGTTACAAAAACCAAATGAAGCCTCAGAACAAAGCATTGCGTTGTAAAACGTTACTTTTGAATAGTGATTACACATCAAAGTAGGTGATACCCATTTTTGAATTGATAAAAAAATAAAACTTTGGCTTGCAGTAAAAGTTCAAAAAAATTACAGGAAAAAAGTTGCTTATTTTGTGGAACTTATTTGTATTCTAAAGAGACATTAATATACTTCTTTGACTAGCATGCTTTAAGATCTTGATTAGAGGTTTGCTTCCGCATCTCTGGCCTTCCTCAAGGGGGGTGTTTCCCCATCTGTCATGGAAAGGTAAAATCCTTCTTGTTAGTAAAATAGGAAAAAAAAAAGGTTATTCCTATTTCAAAACTTCCTCCACGATAAGAAATTTTTGCTTGTTAATAAGTAAAATTTAATTCATGATGAGAAAAACTTGCTAACCAAGAAGTGAGATTAAAATAAAATATTGGCCTTGAATCATTTACTTTCTCTTAATCACTCAAGGAAATAAATTACCTAGGATAAGGCCCTGCAGCAATGAATATTTAAGCTGAGAAAAATAACGCCTTCTTTGGCTTTAAATAATTGATCATCAATTTTCCTCCCAAAAGATAGCAGTTTATATTAACATGCTTTATCATTCTCTTTGCTACTTACCTGACATCCATAGAGAGCGAAAGGACAAAACATTACTATGGTGAAATTTTTTCTTTCATTATCACTAGGATCGCATGTTCTTATGGGCAGCCTCTTTTTGCAAGAAAAAGAATTTCATTTCATATTTTTGCTTAAAGATTTGTGAAGTTATATATTTAAGAACAAAATTCTGGAGAATGTGATGAAGCCTGAGTGTGATACCTATCTTGGGAGAGCACATTAGCTCCAAATTCAAGCAAGACACTCGCCAGAAGGTGCAGCCCTTCTGCAGCTGCAACATGTAGTGGTATTCTGTGATCATAATTTTTACTGTTTGGATCAACTCCATATTCCAACATACGGCAAAATATGTCAATTTTACTATCTGCTACTATTTTACAGAGATATGTACCGGCATCTTCTAGGTTCAGAATTGCGCCATTCTGCACAAGCAGCTTTGCAACTTTATCATGTCCGGCCCTAACAGCTTCGAACAATGGCGAATTTCCAAATTTATCTGCATTCAAAGCCATTTTACAAAAATATCATGCAGAGATTTCGTTGAAGTCAACTTTATTCTAAATCCATGTCTAATCTCACCAATGCAATTTACATCAGCTCTCCATTGAATAAGAAATCTCACAATGTCTTCATAGCCTCTGGATGCAGCCATTTGCTGAGGAAAAAGGAAAACAAATATCATTATCGTAGTGAAAATGCATATAAGTTAAAATTGAGCTACTGCTATTTAATATAGTGCTTTTGTGAGCCTACAAGGAGCTAAACTTGAATTTTGCTCCTGCATAGAAAATGAAATACCATACTAATATTATCATTGTCATTGCAATTATTCTTAGTCTGCTTTGTGACTTTTACATTCATATGTGTCGAGTATCACATGAGATACTACTTTATTTTTTTGTATATCTTTCTTATTGTACTATCTAATCATGTTATTGTTGGTTTACTCTCTTTTCCCTTTTAATCTTTCCACATTGATTTTGTTCTTCCATTATTAATGCCACATGATATGTACAAGCATTATACATGCTATGTACAAATTTATGTACGTTATATACAAGTATTATACACATTATGTATAAGCATTATACATACTATATACAAATTTATACACGCTATTTACAAGCATTATACAAACTATATACAAGTTTATACAAATATTATACACACTATGTACAAGTATTATACACGTTATGTACAAGCATTATACACACTATATACAAATCTATAGAAGCTACATACAAATATTATACATACTATATACAAGCATTATGCACACTATATATAGATTTGTATATACTATGTACAAGCATTATACACGCTATGTATAAGCATTATACACATGATGTATAAGCATTATACATACTTTGTACAAGTATTGTGCATGCTATGTACAAGCATTGTGCATGCTATGTACAAGCATTGTACATGCTATGTATAAGTTTATACATAATATGTACAAGTTTATACATACTATGTATAAGCATTATACACACTATGTACAAATTTATGCAATTATTATACACGCTATGTACAAGCATTATATACACTATGTATAAGTTTGTACATGCTATGTACAAGCATTATATATGCTATATATAAGCTTGTAAATGCTATTTATAAGCTTGTAAATGCTATGTACAAGTATTATACACATTATATATAAGTTTATACACGTTATGTATAAGTATTATACACACTATGTACAAGTTTATACACATTATGTGCAATGCTTATACACAGTGTATATAATGCTTGCAAAATAGGGCAGAAATGGCGAACCCAGCATTAAACATTCAAAAAGAAACGTATATTAATTAAAATGGATATTATTATAGACCAGTATTAATATTATTTTTTTAATTATAATTATAATAAATAAAATTAAAGGTTGAGATTTGATTTGAATAATTAAAATTAATAAAAATGGATGGCCAGTATTTGATATGAGTGGAATCCCAAGTCACTTATATATATATATATATGAAAAAGTTGCTAGATATATGCAAAAGAAAAGTTTAGCAAAGAGAAATTTTTCACCTAAACTGATGTTAATAAATATGAAATATGTTTCATGTATGAATTAATGCTTTTGATACTTTGTAAAATATACAAGTAAAAAATGATGTACATGCCTTGAAGGAGACTGACATGTAAAATCCAAGGAAAAGAGGCCGGTGTGGGAGTGGCACAACCATAACCTATACACCAGGAAAAAAGAAGATAATCGGCACAAAATAATCATTTATAAAAGTGATTATAGAATAGAAATATTAATGTAAGGTCAAACTACTTTTTGTGAGCACTAAAACTCTAAAACTATAATTGATAAAGGTTTTCCAGTATAGTTAAACAGTCTTTAATTCAATTCTATGAATTTGATGCTTCAGAAAAAATGACTATACAATGAATCAGCATATCGCAGTTTTCCAGAAAAATCAATGGTGGCATTCATTAAAATAGATCAATAATCAATTATAAGAATATATTTCATCAAGCCTTCAAAGTAAAGGGATCTGCAGTAGTTTAAGCACAACAACTCTAATTTTTCTGACAACAACCAATGCATTCCAATGGAAATCTTTTGTTCAAGAAACATAAACTTCATATAATTGCTACGGGGTTTGTGATACAAGCAAGCTGCTTCTCTATAGATTCAAAACTAAAAATGATCCCAAAGTAGAAACTCAACTCAACAAAATTAGCTTGAATCAAAGCTAGCATTATTTCACAAGGACATATGGTATCTCCAAGCAGACAAATTTTAAAGAATTACTACACGTATACCAATACAATCACAACAAACCACTCAACAATTCATATCTTTCAAGCAAAGCCGTCAGAGTAGAATCTACACGGGAACTTCACTAAAAGCAGCGTACTAGCATTGTTGAACAAGACACAGACCTCAAATAGACGTTAACAAGCAACAAATCCAAATAGAATCCGATGTCCAAATGAAAATAGCGCCTAAAACATTATGATTAAATATATCACTTAAGCACAAAAGAATGACACGAACGTTCAGGTGATCCTCTAGCCGGGGAATCGTAGGCATTATGGCTGAAGATGCCTTGGCCTCCTCCGCCTCGGCTCCGGTAGACGAGTACACCGCTTCCTCCGCCGCCTTAGCATCCACCGACTTAGCCGCGTCGACATTCCCCTCCCCATAAAGACGGTGGATCTACCGGAGCGGAGGCCAAGGCTTCTTACCTACGATTCCCTTTCGCCCGCTTCTTGGCCATACCAAATCCGGTCTGCCGAAATAGAGTTTTTAGGGGCTGTTTGGTATAAGATTTATCGTGGGATTTATGTCGGATTTACGCTAAATCCAGCCAAATGGTTTTTGTGCGCGCGTTAAATCCAGTGATTTCATAAATCCCGAATTTAGGGATTAACGGCTTAAATCCTGGATTTACTAAATCCCTCGGTTCGGTGGAAGGGAGAAAGTTACCTTCACAGCCAGCGAGCTCCCGTTCTTGCTTCCGATCAAAATGTCGTAACTTCCGATCCGACAGCAAGGGAAAGTCGTCGAAGGAGCGAAGTCGAACAGCCACGAATGAGCCGAAGAAGCGACGCGTGTAATCCTAGACCTAGAAAAGCAACGGAGGGGAACAGTAACGAAAAAGTGAAGATGAAAGGAAAAACCTCGACGCCCTAAGGTATTGATTAACTTAATTAATATATATTAAATTATTAATAATTAAGTAAATGAATTAAATAACTAATTGTATAATTAGTGCATAAATTAATTATATAATTTAACTTAATTGCATAATTAATAATTAAATATTAATACAATTATCTTAATTAATATAACTCAAAATATATATTATTACATATATAATTTAAGTATAAATAATAATTAACAAGTAATTTGTACTTAACATGTTATTAAATTCATAACACATTAATTTTTATTTTTAATTATAAATTTATTTTTAATCTATAATTATCTTCTTCATATTTAAATTTCTAATTGTCATAAATCTTGAATATGTTACCAAATAATTTATCAGGATTTAACAGGATTTAACATTTGACATATCAAACAATTATTAGGATTTAACACATTTTGGATTTACAAATTCCACATATACCTGATTTACTAAATCCCACTTGTTGCCAAAGAGACCCTTAGGATAAACTAGAGATTCAACTTTCATGGTATTTGGCCAGCTCTCGGTGTTGCATTCGATCTGACAGGAGGGAAAGTTCTAGAATGAGCTAAGTTTGTTGAGTATTAGTTAAATAATTAATTTTTTTAAAAAAATAACTAATTAATTTGATACTTATTAATAATACTTATTAATATAATTAGATATTAAATATTTATTAGATTTGCAAATAATTAAGTAATTTAATAAATAGTATTATAATTAGTAATTAAATAATTTAATAATTAAACTAATTTCTAATTAAATTATTTATCATTTAAAATTATTAACTATAATTAAAAATAAAATTAATAATTAATTTGTAATTAACATGTTATTAAATTCATAACATATTAATTTTAATTTTTAATTTGTAATTATCTTCTTTATATTTAAATCCCTAACTATCAAAATCATAAAATAATTACCAAATAATTTCTCATGATTTAACATGATTTATTAAATTTCACTAAAGTTAAATCCCACTTGTTGCCAAACAACTCATTCGATTTTAAGAATGAAGTAAATTACAAACGTCTCTCACCTTCTTACATAAATTACTTCCATATCCTTTATTTTAATACACATCAAAATACTTTCTTATTCAACCAAATATTATAAAAATTGTATCTTTAGTTTCATATTTTGTAAAGAATTAAAGTTTTGTTTAAGCATATAAGCAAATGGCTTAAATCATAAATAAATGTGAATGCCCAATTTTTTGTATAATGAAGACTATGTTACTCATCAAGGGAAATTATTTATTTTAATCATTTAATACTTTTCATATTTTTAATAATTAAATACTAAAATAAAGAAACTAGGGTGTAAACGAGTCGAGACGAGCTCGAGCCATAGCAAGTTCAAGCTGTGCTCGCGAAATTTTTAGGCGGCTCGAACTCGACTCGAGCCCAGAACTCAAGCTCGAAATCAACTCATGTGCTGGAATCTCTAAGGCTCAAACTCGGCTCATTAGCTCGATCTTGAATAGCCTGCTTCAGCTCGGCTCTCTGCTCAATTACAAGCTTGAATAGAAAGCATTTTTATGAATTTTTCATTGTAAGCTAGCTTCAAATTCTCAAAATTTTACTTTGACATTAACTAGATAGCTCCAGCCTTCTGGTCTCTTTTTTAGGAGGAAAATAAAAGATAAACCTATTCATGGACTTTTTAAAAATATTTATAACAAAGGAGAACCTTAATATAAAATTTTACAATTTTTTCTAAGATATGCATTTCGATGATTAATACAGCCTTATAACTCCATTGCATTTTCATGAAGTGCGGCAGTTCAAAAAACCAAAATTTTTTAAGCTTAAAATTCAATCACTATGTAAAATTAGCAATTAAACATGTAGAAGACAAGGAACAGAGAAAAGAAAGAGACGGAAGGGAAACAGGAAATATTAAATCTATTATCTCATGCTATTCTCAGATACATAGTTCATATATATATATATATATGATTTATACATGAGGAGAGACCACGTGTCAGTCTCTGATTGGTACAGGATTGGTGTACTAATAGCCCCCGTCAAACCGAGCGTTCATCTTGAATGGTCGGTTTGGATCTTAACTCTTGAAACCTGGGAGTGGATAAGGGCTTCGTGAGAATGTCCGCAATCTGGAAATTTGTCCCGATCGGTAGCAGACGAATGGCTTTATTTTGAATGTGATCCCGAACGAATCTATGATCTATTTCGATGTGCTTCGTTCTGGCATGGTAAATCGGATTGTGAGCGAGCGCTATAGCCGACATATTATCACAGAAAAGATCCATGGGTTGATCGTGCTGAATGAGGAAGTCGTGTAGTAGTCTCTTGAGCTAGATGGAGTCCGCAACAGCCGCCGCGAGAGCTCTGTACTCCGACTCCGTGGATGATCCAGAAACCGTGGCCTACTTTTTAACAGCCCAGGATATGAGAGTGTCACCTAAGAAGGTGCAGTGACCAGTTGTGGACTTCCTCGTGGTAGCGTCACTGGCCCAGTCGGCATCTGAATATGTCGTGAGTTTTAGCTGATTTTTGAGAATAGGCAGTCTGAAGTCCACCGTTCCTCTGATATACCGTAGCAGACGTTTAAGGAGGTATACGTGCTGAGAAGAAGGATCATGCATATGTTGAGATAGCACGTTGACTGCGTAAGTAATGTCCGGACGCGTGAGAGTGAGATACTGTAGTGAGCCGGTGATTCTGCGATAGGTGCTGGGTTCCGAGAGAATGGTGTCCTCTGCTACTTCAGGCGGAAGTTTTGTACACGACGGGTTGGCTAAAGGATTGCAATGCGTTAGATTAGCAGAAGTCAAGATAGATGTAGCATAGGAGGCTTGAGAGAGAAAGAACTTATCTTTGAATTGTTGAATTTTAATACCCAGAAAATGATGAACCGTGCCCAGATTTTGCATATTGAACTGAGCATGAAGCTTGGAGAGAATGTTGTTGATGACTTCTTGATTGTTGCCAGTCACAAGAATGTCGTCGACGTAGACGAGGAGGAAGATTTGGGACTGATTGTGTTGAAACGTGAGAAGCGACGGATACGCTTGACTGTGTTGGAAGCCGAGTGTGAGAAGATGATTCATAAATGTATTGTACCATTTCGGGGCGCCTGTTTGAGCCCGTAGATTGATTTTTGCAGCTTGCATACGTAGTTAGGATTAGTGTTATCGATGAATCCTCGCGGTTGAGCCATGTAGACCGTGTCTGTGAGTTGGCCGTGGAGGAAGGCGTTCGATACGTCTAATTGCTGCACTGTCCAACCTTGCGAAAGAGCTATGGTAAGTAGCATACGAATGGTTGGAAATTTTGCGACCGGACTGAATGTTTTGCCATATAGTCGATGCCGTATTCTTGCTTATTCCCTTGAGCTACGAGGCGCGCCTTGTACCTGGCCACCGAGCCATCCGAATTGAACTTCTTACGAAACGTCCATTTGCAACCTAAGATAGAGACTTTCTGAGGAGGTGGCACGAGACACCATGTGCCCTGTTTTTGAAGAGCAATGAATTCTTCGGCCATTGCCTGTCTCCACTCCGCATGACGGTTGGCTTCAGCAAAACTGGTGGGGTCTGGATCCGCATTGGATGAATCTGTGGCTAGGAGATTGAGACGCTTGGATGGTTTTAAGGACCCTGTTTGCAGCCTGGTAACCATTGGATGCTTGGTTGGTATGATCTGCCGAGGCTGAGGGGTGTCCGAGATAGGAAGTACCTCCAAAGTGGTGTGGCTGGGAGATGGGATCAATGAGGGCTCGTGGTGTTGCGATTTTGAGGATTGTGCAGTATGGGTTGGAATGAAGAGTTGTATGTCTGATGCCTTGGAGACCGGTAGAAGCAGAGAGGGAGGAATGTCCCTAGAATGTATCTGCGGAGGAGAGCTGCTTTGATGAAAAGGAAATGAGTTTTCAATGAAAGTAACATGACGAGAGATAAAAGTTTTGTGAGTTTCCCTGTTTAAGCATTTGTAGCCTTTGTAGATATCGGAGTAACCCATGAAGACAAATGAGCTGGACTTGGGTTGGAGTTTGTTCCGAGCATGGCTGGGCAGAAGAGGAAAACACTCGCAGCCAAAGGTCCTAAGATGATCGTAGTCCGGATTTTTGCGAAACAGAAGTTGCAGCGGCGATTTGTATTGAGTGTTGGTAGATGGCATACGGTTGATGAGGTATACCGCCGTTAAGCATGCTTCAGACCAGTGTTCTAACGGAACAGATGCCCTATGAAGAAGAGATCTCGTTGTTTCCACAATGTGACGATTTTTGCGTTCCGATACCCCGTTTTGTTCCGGTGTGTAAGGACAGGAGGATTGAAGCTGGATTCCTTTGGATTGGAGAAAAGTATGCATCTGTTGATTGAAAAATTCCTTGCCGCCATCTGTTCTAAGAACTTTGATTTTGCGATTAGTTTGATTTTCAATGTATGTAGTAAATTGCATGAAAATAGAAACAACATTTGATTTATTCGTAATTAGAAAGAGCCACGTATAACGTGAAAAATCATCCACAAAAATAACAAAAAAAACGATGTCCCTGAGTAGAGGTGACCGGAGCCGGTCCCCATACGTCCGAGTGTACAAGTTCAAGAGGGAATTGTTTCCTATTTGTAGAGGATACAAATGGTAATTTATGACTTTTACATTGAATATAAGTATTGCAAGGAAAATAAGAGTAATGCTGAATGTGAAGTGTAGGATTAGAGTGAGCTATGCTGTTCAATATGCGGATGTGAGGATGTCCGAGACGGTCATGCCAGCTGACAACCGAATTCTTGGAAGCTTGAAATGCTGATGAGCTTGACGGGATCTTGTTTGCTGGGCTGACTTTGTACAGCCCTGCATTACATGGACCGCGAAGAAGCTCTTGATTTGTCGTCAGATCCTTAAAAACAAAACCCATTGGATCAAAAGTAACCGAGATATTGTTATCTTTAACTAAATGATATATAGAGATAAGATTATGCGAAATGTTAGGGACGTGAAGTAGATTTGTTAGATGAAGCTTACGATTTGGGGTTGGAAGTATTCTCGTGCCCGAGTGAGCAATGGGAATGTTTCTTCCATCCCCAATGAAGACGCCGTCGGTTCCTTGATATGCTGTCGATTGGTTAAGATTGTCAGCCGCATTGGTCATGTGGGAGGAGGCTCCATAGTCCAAGTACCAATCGTAAGATGGAGTCTCGGAGTTAGCCATGAGAGCATTATTCTGTTTCAGATTACTCGTTTGAGCAGTGTAGTTAGCGTTCATGCGATGCCAGCATACATCTGCTGAGTGGCCTTTCTTGGTGCAGATCTGGCAGATTACCGGTTGCTGTTGCTGTTGTCCGGATCGACCATTCGAATTTTGAGATTGGTTGGAACGGCCTCTGGTGCGACAGCCTCTACCTTTGTTGGCATACAGGGTCGATTGCTGGCTGATTTCGACTGAGTTGCGCGCGGCATCAGCATTGATATGAATTTCTTCACTGATAAGCATGGCATACAGATTCTCAAGACGAATTTGAGTGGGTGAATTCCGAATGTATGTTTTGAACGATTGATACACCGCCGGCAAACCGTTCAAGATGTACAAAACTATGTCTTCAGAGTCGATGGTAGATCCAGCAGACGCGATTTGATCGACGAGCTTCTTGATTTCGGTCATATACTGGATCATAGACTGATTTTTCATGGATATGTGATGAAGCTCATTCTTGAGCTGAATTACTTTGGATCTACTGGTGGCTTGAAACTGGCTTTCAAGAACTTGCCAAATCTCATGTGTGGTGTCGAGATGAAGAATATACGGGAGCACCGTCGGCGAGATTGTCGAGCACAGAGCGGTTTGAAGGTTCTGATCAATGAACCGCCAGTTCTTGATCAGCGAAGCATCTGCGGGATCAGTAGAATCCAGAGGGAGAGTCGGAGGAGCAAGAAAGTGATCGAATTCATTTGCGCGAAGAAGCTTGGAGATCTGATGGCGCCACAGAGGATAGTTCTCCGAGGATAATTGATTCGGGACGAGCGTTTTGAGATTAGAGACGACGAATTTGAGCGACTGAGAAATTTGAGAGGTTTCAGCCGGCGGGAGTTGGGATTGGGCGGTTGCAGACGATGCGGTCGGAGAGTTGGCCATCGTCCCGATCAAGAAAGTAGAAGAAGACGGCCTGATACCATGTAGAAGACAAGGAACAGAAGAAAGAAAGAGACGGAAGGGAAACATGAAATATTAAATCTATTATCTCATGCTATTCTCATATACATAGTTCATATATATAGATGATTTATACATGAGGAAAGACCACGTGTCAGTCTCTGATTGGTACAGGATTGGTGTACTAATAAAACACTTTAAAATAAAATAAGGATAAAAATCATACTTGTATGAGAAGAACAAATATCACATTGTTATTGTAAAACCTAAAAAACATCGATCGTAAGCTTTACACGCATTTCGATGTGTTTGATGAAAATTGAATGAATTTTCAAATTCATCGTAATTCAACACAATTAATTTTATAAAATTCTACGCAAAATTTCGAGCGAATTGAAATAAAGAACTTGTACCTAATTTTGCTCGAAATTAAAGGTAAAAATCGTCGAAGTTTTATAAACTAAAATTTACTTAATAACCCCCATGGTTTTAAGAGAGTGCAAATCGGTCTTTTGGCAATCCCTAAGCCAACAAAGTATTCAGGCACCGAAACTATTCGGTCCCTTCACTCTATTTGTTTGGACCGAACAAAAGGAAAAGGGAGGCAGATACAAGAGGCGTCGTAAGAATTGGGACGGCGACTTTGGCGGCAGTTTCCGACGACCAATCTTGGCGGAAATCGTAGAGAGATACTCAAGGAAGACTAATGTATATTTGTAATCAAGAAATCCCTCCTTTTCATGTCAATTTCTTGAAGAGAAAATTTTTAAGAATTTGGAAAAACCTAAAATTTTTTAAAGGGGATCATTAGAGAAGGATTGAAGATACTTCTTAACCACAAAAACGAAGTTTTTACAAAAAATTTTGTGAGTTGGAAAGTTAGAGTTTTTCACACTTTTGGATTTTTAAGAAAAGCCTTTCATGATTATTGTTTCAAATGACATTAGGAAGATTTTAATGATGAAAATTAAGGTTTTTTAGCAAAAAAAAAAACTTAATTTTTAAATTAAATTAATTTGAAATTAAGTTTACCTAAATATTAATTAGGTTTATAGGAAAGTTTGGCATGGTTATTTGATGAAATTAAGGAAATTATGATTTCCAAAAATTAGGGTTAATGATAAATTTGAAAATTTAAATTAATTATCATGAAATGTTAAGGTGGCTACTAGGGAAATTAAAATCAATTATTGGAAATGAATTAAGTTTATGTTGGGTTTTTCATAGATTTTGGGAATGGAAGGGATGGAAGTAGAAGAGAAAAAGCATCAAGGAGTTAAACTAATATCTTCACACGTCCCGTATTTTTCTTAAGGTATGTACTTGTATTTAGATTAAATTCATATTCCTAAACTTTCATTTATATGAAATAATGCAAATGTTTAATTGTTGAAAATCCCTATTCATTCAACAAGCATATGTTAGAATTATATTTATGTTATTGTTCAAGAAAGGTTAATTTTGTATTTATACTTATTATTACAATAATGTTAAACTTATACCTTGTGATTTTTAATGTAAGGTTGAGTAATGTGGCATGTCTTTTAAATAAAATTAAGGTAGACATGAGATTGACAATGAAATATAATTAGGAGAACATTTGAATATGAAATAATTTATGCAAGCATATATGAATTCCTGAAAGATTTATTTTCTAAAATAAGTATTATGATTGAATGTGCATGATGATCCGAAGTACCAACTGATAAAGGGATCTTCAGAGCAAAATGGTAAATGACTCTTCAAATCAAATTGGTAAAAGAATCTTTGGAGTAAATATAATGAAATGTTTGGCCAAATTTGATTGTGTACCTAATTAGTACAAAATACTGGTACTTCCGGGATGGGTGTATAATATAAGATTAAGCATTTTATATTTTATGCATATAAGAAAATAAAGAAAAAGTTATTAATAAATGAGAAGTTATAAAGAATGAAAAAGTTTTGAAAAATTAAAGAAGATTGAGCATGTAAAATTTTATACCATATATGCATATCCAAATATCAAGTATACTTTTT